AGAGCTGCCCTTCTGAAGGACACTGCAGAGAGCACAGGCTGGAGGAGACACACACGTGTCTCAGCAGCACCAGGGCCCCTCCAAAGGCCACTTTAACCCTTTAGGACACCGGGCTGGGAGAGTCTGGGTGAGCCAGAGAGGCAGCAGCCCTGCATCATCACCAAACGCAGTGACCCGCTGGTGAGGGATGCAGGAAGGTGGGGACACCTTCCCACGCTCCCCTGGGACCCAGGGATCACAGAGAGCCCTGACACGTGGAGGATTTACTGGATGAGCCACAAAGTCATTGAAACGTCACCAGCCATGGGGACTAGTCAGCTGCAAAGCCATTATCCAGCGCGATACCCTTCTTTTTCCTCCACTTAGAAGAGGCAACGGGGCAGGGAGGAGGGCTGGGGCCGGGCTCCGGGGTCTGCAAAGCACTGAGACCACCATGACCTATCGCTCACACTCTGTATTTTCGGGTGGCAGAGGGCTGAGGATGTGGGGCTAAGCCTCCTGCAGGGTTAAAACTCTGTGAGGATGCCAATGCAGGAACGGAACATTTTGCAACCACCTCCCGGTGGGAAAACCCATCTCAGGCTTGCAGATTTTGGCGCAGCTTCTCTCCATTTATCTCCTCTGCAAAAAAAGGCATTGGATATTTCTCTTCCCCCATCCAGCCATCAGCCGCTGCTGCAGTTGCCCAAAGATCAACCAGGCTTTGCTGATTGCTGGTGGCCTTGTCTTGTAGCTGCTGAGAGCACGTCCCAGTCCCGCTGTGCAGCTTCCCCTGTAAAATAGAGCCGGATCCATCGACCTGCCTGCAAAGAAAGGGAGTGAGGAGCCTGGGGAAGGGCACAGAGAGAGAGCTGTACGTGTCCAGCACTGGCACGGATACCAGATGTAACGGGGAAGTCTCGAGGGAAGGGGATGAAAATTGAACTAGCTCGAAAGGAATTAAATAGCTGGTGATTTACACCTAAAAATAGAGCGAAGCCACAGCCTGTGTCACCCTGCAAGGGGAGGTGGTAAAACCACGATACTGAAATTACATCCACTGTGTCTCGCGAGCTCCACCGTCACCTCCTGCCCTGAACCTTGAGCCCCACCGAGCGCCAGCGCGGCTCGGTCCCACTGCCGGCCTGGCACACACGGGGCCCCCCCGTGGCTCTGGCTTTGCCAAACCCTCTTCTGCTTCCCCATGAATCAGGGTTTTAATGCAAGTCTAGGTCTCCCGAGAACTCTCCTGCAGTTCTCTTTGTGCCTGTTTCAGCAATCTGGGTTGATTCGGGCAACCTTTAAGAGAAGTATCCAGTCCAGAATGGAAAATCTTTGATTTTCCACCCCAAAAGGTTACAAGCTGGCTTGTTTGTTTTTTTTTTTAAACATACAGGTACAGAAAGAGCTCCTAAGCAAAACAATTTCCTCCAGATCAAACCAAATGTTTCACTCAAGCCTCATTATTTTCTTGTCGCTAATTACGAAGAAAAGCCAAGAACCAGGAAGGTAATTAATTTTATACTGTTTTTTGTGAGTCACTGCGTTAATGCAGATACCACACAGGGGCCCCACAGCCAGCACCCACCCGAACCTCACTGCGGGCTTGGCGTGCGAAGTAAGCACAGGGAGACAAAGAAAAAACAAG